AAATAAAGTATACGATTGGTTATGTTTGAACAGACTTAAATTGAATGTCAATAAAACTAAGCTTATGGTTATATCAAGGCAAAATTCTGAGAACAGTGGGTTGCTAACTCTAAATATAAACAACGAAGCACTGGAAAAAGTTAATACATTCAAATATCTAGGAATAAAGATCGATGATAAACTAGTCTTTAACGAACACATTGATTATACTGTAGGCAAGATCGCAAAAAAATTATACTTTACGCAGAGAATCTGCAGATACTTGAGTAGAAGGTATAAGACGATGNGCGATATTAAGTTACTTGCTGATGATACGTTGCTTATGCTAAGTGGAGAAAATATAGCTGAGATAGCCTCTAAATTGCAAGATGACTTAAATAAAGTATACGATTGGTTATGTTTGAACAGACTTAAATTGAATGTCAATAAAACTAAGCTTATGGTTATATCAAGGCAAAATTCTGAGAACAGTGGGTTGCTAACTCTAAATATAAACAACGAAGCACTGGAAAAAGTTAATACATTCAAATATCTAGGAATAAAGATCGATGATAAACTAGTCTTTAACGAACACATTGATTATACTGTAGGCAAGATCGCAAAAAAATTATACTTTACGCAGAGAACCTGCAGATACTTGAGTAGAAGGTATAAGACGATGGTATATAGATCTATAATCGAACCTCATTTTATTTATTGTCCAACTATTTTTTTCATAATGAGAGATAGTCAAATTTATAAATTGCAAAAGCAACAGAACAGAGCCATGCGATGTTATGACACACCCATCAGAGACATGTTGGCCGAATTAAATTGGCTTAGTGTTAAACAACAACTTTTTTACTACACAATGAAATTTATTAGGAACATTATATGCCTGATTACTTAAAAAGCAACATAAAGTATGTCAATAATGTACACTCCCAAAATACTCGAAATAAAAATGATTTCAAACTGCCTGCTTATAAAACCGAAGCAGATAAATGTAACTTGTATTATAAAGGATTAAGATGCTTTAATGAATTACCAAAAGATGTTAAATCAAGCAATATGAATGAATTTAAACAAAAATTTTATAATTATTGTAGGATCCTTCCTATTTAGTGATGCATGGGCAATCTTCCAGACTTTCAATCGCAATGCATACGCACCAAGTATACTGTTGCATTACGCCAACATATACCCTTCCGCACGCTTCCGAAAAGCAGCCGAGGCTCATCACAAAACGCATCACTAGATCAAATCTGTGAATCGCTGTTTAGATGCTTGTTTCGCACTTTGCATGCATACGCGGTGGCTCAACCGCAGCCAAATAGTGCAATCATTGTAATGGTTTGTTTTGGAAGTATGCCTCATTGTTTTTCACTGCAGTTGGTGTCCATATAAATGGCGTATACTTTATACTTTGTCTAGGCTTTAAATTATAGATCATAAATATAGATAAATATGTATATGCATATAAGTTTAAGCTAGGCTTAATTAAGCTGTAAGAATTAAATAAATAAAATAAATAAATGTTTGCCTTGACTCGTTAAGTGAGATTAAAGATCCTGGAGTACATTTCGACTCAAAACTTACCTTCACTTCTCACTTAAATGAAACTATTGCTGACTCATTTGCCATGCTTGCATTTGTTAGACGTCACTCTTCAGAGTTCACCGACCCTTATATTATTACGATGCTTTATACCGCGTTTGTGTGTTCAGAATTGGAATATGCTGCGTTTATTTGGAGGCCGAGTCATACTGTTGATATTAATCGTTTAGAAAAGGCGCAAAAAGTATTTATACGCTTTGTTTTACGTTCATTAAAGTTTGTTGAACCATTGCCATCATATGTCTCCCGTTGTCGGCTAATTAGCCTACCAACTTTACATAACAGCAGAACTTCTCTGGCTCTTATTTTTATTGGGTATTATCTCGGGAAAAATTGAGTGCCCGTCCTTACTTGAGAGAATCCATTTTTATGTTCCTGGCCGTAATTTGTGTCGGTTGGGCTAAGTAGAACGATTTATGGTGCAAATGCGCCAAAAAACAGAACCTTATCTAATTTCAATTATTTTTCAAACTTGTTAGGCATAGATTTTACAAACCCTTGAGCAAATACATTAGAATTGGAAAGATATCTTAAGTCCAGTCATTAATATTTATAAGTCTTGTAATTCCTAACCTGTTTCAAATTCTTGATTGTTTTTTTAATTGTTTCTTAGGTAATCTTCTAAATTAATTTT